GGAGTCGGGACCTAACAGAATGGGGTACCGGCTAAGACCCAAGAGAGCTGAGCTCCTTCCAAATGGTAGGTGACCTTAGGTGTGCTGCTTTGTTTTAGGAACATTGCTTCCTTTCTCCCAGGGCAGAAAAAGTTCCTCTGCATTCCAACACTGCTCAGCAGAACTGGTGCACATGTAATGTAAGTCACCAGCAGCTGAACAAAACCTTAATTTTCGCCATACAAGAATAGTAGAGCAATAGATGGGGCTACCTGGGTTGAACTCCTATGTTGAATTTAGCAGGCTTTGCACGCCAAGTTACAGTACCAAAAATCTGTTTCTATTTGCTCGGGAGACAGTCTAGCACAGCACAAAGGCCCACTATAATAATCACAACAGACACAGGCTTATTTTGCCATTAGAATACCAGTGAGAGGATATAGGCTTAAACAGATGCATCTTAAAGGTAACCTCCCTTGGGGGCACGGTGTAACCAACTCTTTCTGACCAGAAACCCCAAGTTCATCTACTCTGGAATGTGTTTCTCTGAGAACCACCTCACTGCACCAAGGTGTTAGGCAGAGGGTTTAGGCAGCCCTTGTTGACAGAAATTGTATCAAACACTGAAATATGAATGCATAAAGTACTTCTCTCTTTTTTTGCTTGTTTGTTTGTTTAAAGTCTTCCTGATTTGCATGCATCTGTCATACACTGGATGGCAAGGTCAGAATTTATCTACTGAGAATTCACTAACCTTGCAAGAATTGATTCTCTATCTGTTTCTCAAGCAGCCAACACTATGGATGTTCATGAAGCATTCCTCCATCCTCCTGTATCCTAAGGCTACCAAACTTGTCACTCTTACTCTCACTCTAAGGGTCATCTTGATTTGCACAGGTAGCTTACTGCCTTACTGGACACCAACTCCAGACAAAATAACTGAGCTAAACTCTGCCAAACTCTTGAGCTATAAGGTTAAACATTCAGTTCCTAAGCTAGATGCTACACATGCAAGCTAGACACACGGAGATGCCTTGTGTCCCTGCAAAGCAGAAGGGAAGAACCCCCTCAGACACAGCTTCTGTCTAACAACCATGTTTTATGCAGAATGCTTGGGGGCTACTCTATTTTTATAACTTTCATCCATAAAATAAGAAGCTAAAGCTTCTGGAAAGAGAACACAATTACCCTACAATGATCTAACAGTCAGAATAAATTCAACACAATCTGTATAAGCAAAATGAAAAAGTCACCCAAGCTTTTTTTCAATTGGCAGTAGATAATATTTAATAACTGCCCTATCGTCAACCTTCAGAAATGATCTCCAGAGCCACATGCAGGTTGGCAACCAGGCATAGTGCCTAACTAGTTTTTGTATCTAGTTTTACAGAAGTAGAGACATATGGAAATGAACAGCCTGGCAGAACAAGTGAACTCTGAAGCAATGACTTCGATAAATAAAAGCCTGCACACTGGCAGATGGAGAAAAGCGCAGTAGGGAGGAACTGTATTGCAGCAGCAACTTGATTTTAAATGATTCACAAAAAAATCAACCTCAACTTCAGAAACAAGGCATTTCCAATTCCTCCCATCATACCCTTGCTGGGGAAAATTCTCACCAGAAAAGGAGGGAAGGGGAAGGTAGAACAACGTTTCAAACAAAGGGCAGGTACCAGGAGATGTTTCAGGAAGCAGAGAACAGAACTGGGAGAACACTAATCATTTTCACCTCTTATTATGCTGCTAACCACGTTTTAGGTGCCTTTCTCAAAGCTACAACCAACAACTCCCCAAAGCAAGATGTGGTGATGCATTCTTAAGCCAAATACTGGAAACCAGAACGTGAGCACCGGGAGGACAGGTACACAGGATACACAGACCTCTCCCTCAGCAAACCACAACTTGTGCTCAACGCAACCATCTCCTGCACTCACTCCTGTAGAGACTGGTCTATTTGCGGGCAAATCGAGTCTTTCCTATTTGCAGGCTGCAAAGTGATTCCTAGTCATTGTTAACTGTGACAGATGAGTGGAGAATCAAGCATTACTACTCCCCCGCTGCTAGACTCCAACCAGCATGCTTATTCCACTTTTTGGGATAAGGGGACTCCTTGTCTGGTGATCTCAAAGACTGTTCTCCTCACTCCTTCTGAAACACCTTTCCACGGACTTACTGTAGCACCAATCCATATTACAGTCTGGGAGCTAGCAAGGGAAAAGGCATCCCTGTATCCCATCAAGAAGTGCAATGTAATGCAGAGAATTCTGTGCAACCTTCTGTGTACATCCCTATCTCTTTCCTAGCTTCACCGATAGCTTCCTATTTAATAATTAAAATAAGTTCAATCTATACATAAAGATACACGATAGGGGAAGATTTTCAACACCCAACTGTCACTTAACGTCTCCAAAGACAAGAATAAAATAAAGGAACTCATTCTTTGAAGTCTGCTTCTGCAATAAGATTGTATCACGGTGTGCAAGTACTTGTGGTGACCTTGTCAACCCTAACAAGCCAGCCCCACTAAATATCACTGATCTGTATGCAAAAGCAGCAGAACATCCCTGTGTGATAGGTACTGATTCTCTTCATGCCCACTACAGACCACTGCAGTAAAAATAAGAGAAGGGAAAGAGACATTAAGAAGCTGACGAAAAATCCCCAATTGTGATTGTCCAGAACTAAGGAGCCTGCCATAGGTCCCAAGTACTGTTCAGTAACACAGTCACTCGTGCTGTCCCCAGGTAGCTGGGGACAAGCTTTAGGATGTAACGCAAGGCCAAGACAGAATTAACCTCCAGACTATTGTGATGCAGAAGAAGATGAACTTAATTGAATTTCAATGAGCTAACTGAACTTCACTGAACTTCCCCTCAACAATAGGCCACCTTTTCCTATAAAGCATCTCCCTTTCTCATCCTGACAGTCCATCAGTTGGTCTTAGGCACGCGATCTCACTTCTTCACACCATCTGGTTACCCACCATCTCAAAACTCAAACATCTCTAACACCTCACCTGCTTCACTCACAGCCCACACAGATCAAGACCACCTGCAGGCAGATTTACAAATGAGTGTAACCACAGATCTGTTGGCTCTATAAGCCTCTAGTATATAGCAGGGCTTCTCTCCTTTCCTGATCAGCTGCCCACAAAGTCCAGAGCACAGCTAGCACAGTTACTAGCACAGCAAGTCAATGGCTGTATGCATGCACAAACGGCAAATAAAGGTGGATTAGCTTTTCGTGTGTGGCACTGGGTAAATGTTTTGAAATAAACAATAATGGCCACTGTCCATCAAGACAGCAGCGAACAGATGGCAAGGAGGTTGTGTTGCAGGAGAGGTCTCAAACAGTAGTATGTATTTTCTCCCCTACCTTCCTTGTTCTGGTAACAGTTTCTGTCTGCTCTTGCACATCTCCAGCTACATGCAATCCCCATTACCATGTCCTAACATACCGTGCAACTCTGGCTGCTTTACCATCCTAGCACTGCAGAATCACAGAGAGAGCACACATACAAAATGCTGCAACCTCAGAATGGGGGCATTTTTTTGCCCTATTCATTTATTTCAGTGCGTTTCTTTCTTCCTGAACTACTATCTTCCATCTTCCCACGCAAACTCTGAAAGTTTCAGAAGTTAGTGGCAGACCACTGCTACGGATCAACCCCTCTACCAACCATTATGGTCATTTAATCTACTGTCACCTTCAGGATGTGACAATAAGGTGTAATCCTGGGGGGAAGAAAAAAAAAAAGAAAAACCCCAAACACCTATTAACAATGAGCCTCAAATGCACCTCCTCCTCTTGAGCAAAACCTCAGAGAGGGCTGAATTTCTCTTTTTTTTTTTTTTTTTTTTCCTTTTGTAAGGAAGTTTTTAAAAAAAGTGAATGCTTACTTGACAGCTACCACTCTGTCTAGCAAAACAGCTACTCTATCTCCATTTTTTTCTCCAGTGTTAGAAGCTTAACACTACAACTTGAATTAAGAATCCTTAATGGATATTATAACATTCACTTAAGGCCACAGATTTAATATATGAAGGCAATGTGTGGCATGTTTGCATGGAACAAGCATTCTCACCAAAGCAGTCCAAACATATTAGTGATTTCTAAGCAGTTGTAAGTGAGAAGTGAGTTCTAGATTTCCATTCATGGTAACTCCATTGTATGCAATTCTGGTTGGACAGCAGAGCCTTTAAAATGGATAAAAAACGCAGCCCTCTACACTTCCAGAACTTGTCATTTTTTGCAACTGATTATCAGTAACTTGTTAGTACAGCACTGAGTATCTAAACATACACAAAAACACACATTGAAGTCTGTGCAAGGATTACACCAGGACTGGTTTTGTGACCTGTTTTGCTGTTCCACCTCAGCTGGTGTACAGCCTCTATCTGAATGGTAACAGCTGAACTCTTACTCCTAAAACTCCCCAGGAAGGCAGAGAACATTACGCTAGGGCACGCAAAGCAGGATCTGGCCCCTAAGCATTCCCATTCTGCAAAGACAAGTGATATTACCCTCCAGCCTCAGCTGTTGCAATAGGTCTTAAACACAGCAGAACCGCAGTGGTTCCCTAAGGACTGACATGAAGTTACTGTTTATCTTCTCAGCAGTGTGTGGGCAGACAATAGATGGCATATCAGAATTTAACTGATTCAGAAAGGTTGAAAACTACAATGTACAATATACTACAGTATCTACAAGCAATCAACAGCATAAGAGGCTGAAAAATATTTCCGTGCTCAACCCCAGACATCATCATACCAGGGATTTCTTTCCTCACCTTTTTTTCCTCAAAGGTCCCCTTAGCACTGAGCTGGAAAGGCAGTCACGAAAAACACTTTGGTTTATGTATTAATGAGTAATATGCAATATTGTAGAGGCAGCCAAAACAGTACACATTTCCAAGACTATACACACATGAACAAAACAATCTTTTTCCCCCCCCATGGTATGCCATTTGGCTAGTTATGAAAATAAAAGAGAAAAACAAAAAAACATCATCAATTACATACCTTGGCTATTTGGACACACCAGTTTAGCAGAAGCTGGGAGCCAATATTATCCTTATGTTCATGAACATAATCCAACAGGCAGCCATGAGGCATCAGCTGAGTGACTAGTTGAATGGTCGGGCTCAAGCAGACACCCAGAAGTCTCACCAGGTGGGGGTGGTCCATGCTAGCCATGATCAGAGCTTCCTGTAACAACAAAAGTGACCCAGTTACTCCAGTGTGCTTAGAAACCTTACGCATAGATTTCCCAGACAGCACCTGAAAGGGATCAGTGACCTCTAAACACCATAAATGTTTGTTGTCTATCCAGTGTGAAGCATACCTAGACAAAATCCAGTCTAATGTGATGTATGCTTGATATAATGAGCCCCAAGTGATAGAGCTCAGACTATCCAGACAGATCCAGGGAAGGCTCAGATCAGAAGTTATGCACTGCCTTAACATTCCCCATCCTGTTACAGCCCCAGAATCAAAGATGTATGACACGCTTGACTTTGTTTGAAGATCTCGTTTTTCTTATTTCCCACTTAGTTTCTTGAATTTATTTTTCCAACTGATGGTCAATGTATTAGGTACCAATTTTATTTTTTTTTTGTGCAAGCAAACTACACCACTCGTATATAGTTACATCCCCAGTTTGGCCTTCTCTGTTTAGGCTTTTGATTAAGCTGCGTTGATGTGCTCCACAGGATCAGAAATTTTAGTGGTTAGTATTTTACAGGCTTAAGTGTTAACATTTAACTAGAAGCACTTAATGTTGTCTAAGGTATGCAGAGTCCTAAAGTGCCACAAACAAGTGGCACAGGAACTCCTTACAAAAAAATGAACATCTGCTCATCCAGGTAATGCTGCCATCACAAACAACTGGCACTGCAAAAAAACACAGGGGGAAAGCTTTTCTCCCTCATTCACAGAGCTGAGTCCTCCATTTCAAGACCACTTCATCATGGCAACAGAACAATGAAAAGTGAGATGAAACTGCAGCTTTGTAAAGCTATTTTGGTTCTCTTTCTCCAAAAAAACCTATGTGACATCCTTCTGACAATTTAACAGCTATAATAGTGCCAAAGAAGGAAAGAAAAAAAGGCTAAGAAAGTTGGCATCAGAGGAACACAGCATCTTCCCCAAGTCCTAAGTCTCTTTTTTCTTCCCTGTATTAAGGGGAAAAAAGTCCTGGCAAGTAGGCTGAGTTTGTATTAAAGGAAATTGCTCATCATAGTACAAAGAATATTTGAAACCAAATTGCAGAGTATTTGCATAATAGTTGCCTTTCTTTCTCTCTCTTTTTCTTAAAACCAAAAGATGAACGAGACACTAATTGTAGGTTTGCCCCCCACCCCGCCCAATAAGAAAAGAGCAGATGGACTCCATTGGGGGAACATCTCTTTCGTTTTTCTTCCTAAACATATGTGAAGAAGTAAATCAATCAATAGCAGCTATGTGATTGGAAGACTGGAGGAAGAGCTCTGAGGAAAATTCCAATGAAACTGAGATAAGGAATCATCATTTAAGAACTTTTGCTCTAATTCAAATTAATACAGTCCTGTCTTATTCAAGTAGCATGTGTGGGGTCTCCTTCAAGCAGTTTTAGCCTCTTCTGTGATCACCAGAAAGTGTCAGTGAAGGCCACCAGAATAAATGTGTGTTGACAGGTGCATTATCCATTTTCAGAGAGCAGAATGACTGCCTCTTTTTATTTATTTTAATTCATTCCATTTTTACCCTGCAGATGCATAAGGGGATAGCACTTGTTGCCCTCTCCCTCAGAGTGAAGTTTCTCCAGAATTTCCAGTGGGAGCACTTTTCGTTATAATGAAGACTGATTAGAACAGAGACAATATATTATTTTTCCTCACCAAGGGACCAGATGGAAAGCTTTGAAGCATGTGCTCCATTAGTCTCCAGCTACTTGCCATTTATAAGTCTATCTGAATCTAAAGGAAAGCCACTTCTGTACAATAATAAAAGCAAGCAGTGCCATTTGTCTCATTCTGGTGATACAGGAAAGCACATATCCCTTCCAACAGTTTCGGGCAACAGTTACAAAAAAAAAAATCAAAATACGTGTATCATTAATAAAATATTATAGACTGCTCTGTAATAAATTAAGACACACGACAGAGCAGCGAAACCTTCATTATAGATCTAAGTCACTAATGGGTATTAATTTAGCATGAATCCTGGCTTCACATAGTTCACATTCTCATTAGTAAAAGTATTGTTGTTTTTATTGCACTAGCTTCTACAAGAGAACTAAATTCAGGGTTATGTCTATCTGGCACAGCATAAACACAAAGTAAGAGAGATTGTCTGTTTTGTCTAATTAGACTCTAGGAGAAAATTACAAACAACAATAGAAACATTATGACTTAGTAGCATTTTAATAATCTGTTCATCAAGTAGGGAGTAAGAGTCCCCCTTTTTGGACACTGAAGACCCTAAAACCACGTTTTCCATGACACTTAGGCACCTTGCAGTGTGGTTCCCAATCACGTTTTTAAAACAGTTATAAGGTAAGGCATCTAACTCACAGACTTGGCTGCCTGACATCAGCACCTCTGAAAACCAGCCTCTGGTTTCCTGTATTTCTTGGTAGCCTTGTCTGCAGATCTTGTCTCTCTCCTCAACTGGAAGAATTGCACAAACGATTTTGAAAACTGTACCTAATAACATAATTTAAAGGAGAGGAAACTGAGGTACAAAAAAGCACAACCTACTATCCAGTCACATAGGAAATCTAGAGCAGAATTGGAAATTGAGCCCCAGAACACTTTATCTTTCTTTCCTGATACAAAAAGAAAACCTTTGAAGCTTGACGTACAGAAGGGGTGAGGGGAGAGAAATGATAAAAAATACTTTATATTTCCTCCAGAAGTCAGAGTCTTTCTAACATTGCATCAGCATCTGCGAAATGGCAGGAGAGGGGACTGTTTTGAAAGGCTCCTATCAGACATCAGGCACTCTCTATCTGCAGATGCACAAAATCTTATCACAAGAGGAACTCCTCAGCCAGACCAGATCTCTTCCTGGAGATCGTTTACACGGCTGTTCCTTCTTAGGTATCAATTATCGCAGCAGTGTGTGGCAGTCAGACTCAGGACAGCTGTAAGCCAGCCAGCCTGGACACAGGTAGCACTTGTGGAGTTCAGCTTGCCCTTACCTCTAAGACGCATTTTGCCTTCTGCAGTGAGCCCCATCCAGCTGAGACTAGGGTACTGCAATATGCCAGGTAAGTTACTTACCACCAAGGCTATGTACGTATATTCTACTCACAGTAGAAATGTATCTGAGGGGAAGGGGGATAAAGAGAGGCTTTGATGCAGAAGGCCTCAGGTAGCTATGGTATTTTAAAGAAATCTCAGGTCATGTTGGTCATTCCTCTCCTCTGTCCCTTTTGAATGTGTTTATACTACTTCCACCAGATGCATTAAACTCAGCTCCTATGATTTATATTCACAAGCCCATATTAAACAGTTACAGAAACATTATTTTAATGCTCTACACTGCTCCGTCTCTCACACGCATTCAGTAACAGTGTAGTACCCAACAAGAAAGGTGAGCATGTAGGCTCCGGGGAGCCATTGCCAGACCTATGCCTGATTTCTCTGTGAAGGTCTGAGGAAGGCAATTGCTCATGGACAGGGGCCAGAAGCAGCCCTCTGAGCACATGTCATTAGAACAGCCAAAATACTCTTAGACAGGTAGAGCTTATTTAAGTCACGCGAGCCAGCCATCACTGTAAGGATATAGTGCATAGTTACATCCAGGCTAAAAGCACCTGTCAACACAGGTGATGAAAGGACTTAGCTGCTCACATCTCACAGGTCACTCAAGTCACCTTCATTCCTTAGATAGCTTTGAAAATCCCAGCTAAAATGTTTTTTTGATCTATCCACACAGTGCAGTCCTGTTTGAAGTGCCATTTCACAAAAGTAACTGAAAATGCAACTAAAGGATTTTTATTTTGGCCTTCCATGAGGAGGAAGACCAATTCTTGAGACTGTGGGAAGGAGGTATTTTCACTGTGTGCCAACACCTACAGGACATCTTACAAAACATTATTTAACTTCCTCCTTTCATTCTCTGAGGTGTTTTTGTTAACATTTGCAGCTCACAAGTAACTGTAAGTACTAGCCAGCATACTGCCTCCTGAAGAGCATGCTTTGCCACTGGCTTTGTTTCTCTGACCTCTGAATTCGTAAAGCAATGATTCAGCAAGTTGCCCTGGGCCACTAGTGGTAAAAATAATACCATACTCATAGCGATGTTGAAGATTTATTCTCCACCCAGAGTGGTCCAGGACACAAACCTCCTCCAGAACTAACTTCTCCATTAGTACACCAGGAAGCAGCTCACTACATGGTCGGGCATCCCCAGCCAGACTGTTCCCAAGGTGCTAGAGATGCCATAAAGGCCATGCAGAGCTGACAGCAAGCTACCCCTTATCAAGTGCAAAATCTGGCTTGGAAGGCAATATGATCATTTTAGTAAGTCAGAAGACCTCCCCTCAGCTGCTTGGGGAGGGTCTGAATCCTGTAAACAGGCTGCCTCATTAAGACAGCCTTGCACCTCTTGGTGGATCCCAGCACTTCCTAATGCAATGGTTGATGACCTTATTTTCTTGGTTGTCAAGACTTCACCTAAAAACAGAATCCACAGGTGAAGCAATATTTGTTTCCTTATATCAGACTTAAATACCCGGCAGAGGAGAAAAGCTATTCTTTCTGGAGACTTGTTCTTTAACACAAGCTTCCTAAGTGCTGATGGCCATGCAATCCAAAGCACTGGGAGGAGCTCACTTGCATTGAGCCCGTGTCCCCTTCCAGTGCTCCACACACACCCACTACATGCCATCCCTCTGGGTCAGTGCAGGAGAAACATGGTCCCCATTCCAAAAAAGTGTCAGGGGTGTGCTGCCCCAAGCTCAGCAAGCTGAGAGCAAATTCTACCGCTCCAGATGAACACATGCACCCAATGGAGTTTGGTAAGCTGGGCCAAAGTCTAAGAAATCTTTGGTTTCCTTCTAACTGTTCTTGCCTGAAAATGCCCCAAAAGAAAACAAGTTAAAAAAAAAAAAAAAAAAGAACAAACACCCCCTGGTTTTCCTCATCATCGCTGAGTACATAAAAGTACTTAAAAGCTTGCTTCTTACTGTGTTGTGCATTTTTCTGAAATCATAAACTGTG